AACCTGACCATGAAATGTATCTTTCCTTCTATAAGCTACTTCATGAGCCCAGATGTTATGTAAAGACAGCTATTCTTTTAATTAGAATGGGTTATGCAGGCAGCTTCTGCTCAAGTCTCTCACAGGTCCAAGGTTACTTTTGCCATGGCCCCCGACAGCTGCCTGCCTGAGTATTCCCCATGCTGTGACTTTTTGGTGTTGAAAGAAACTGGAACGCTGGCTAAAGGACTTCCCACATGGGATGCATTCATAAGGCCTTTCTCCAGTGTGGACTACTTGGTGTTGAATGAAGACAGACTTTTGCCTAAATGATTTCACACTCACACGGCCTTTCCCCGGTGTGAATTCTGCAGTGTTGAATAAGGCTGGTGCCTCTACTGAAGGGTTTCCCACACTCACCACATGGATAAGGCCTTTCCCGGGTGTGAACTCTCTGATGTTTAATAAAGGCAGCCCTCTGGCTAAAGGACTTTCCACACTGGCCACACTCATAAGGCCTAGCTCTGGTATGTATTCTCTGATGCTCCGAAAGACTGTGGCTTTGCCTGAAGAATTTTCCACAGTCAGCCCACTCGTAGGGCCTTTCCCCAGTGTGGCCTTTCCCCAGTGTGAGTTCTCTGACGCCGATCAAGTTTGGATTTGTAGCCAAAGGCCTTCCCGAATTCCTCACACTCATAAGGCCTTTCTCCTGTGTGGACTCGCTGGTGTCTGATAAGGGTAGCTCTTTGGCTAAAAGATTTCCCACACTGGCCACATTCATAAACCTTCGTTGCAGTGTGAATTCCACGGTGTTCAATGAGGCTCAAGTTTTGCCTAAAGAATTTCCTACACTCCCTACACTCATAAGGCCTTTCTCCTGTGTGGATTCTCCAGTGTCTGATGAGGGTAGCTCTTTGGCTGAAGGATTTCCCACACTCGCCACACTTGTATGGCCTTTCTCCGGTGTGGACTCTCTGATGTACAATGAGAGTGGCTTTTTGACTGAAGGATCTCTGACACTGGTGGCACTCACATGGCCTCGTCGTGGTGTGAATTTGCCAATGATCGACGAGGCTGAAGCTTTGCCTAAACAGCTTCCCACATCTGTCACATTCATCCAGTCTCTCCCCTGTGTGTGTTCTCTGATGCCGGACGAGATTGGATTTGCATCCAAAGGCTTTCCCACACTCTCCACACTCGTAAGGCCTTTCTCCGCTGTGGACTCTGCAGTGTTCAATAAGGTTGGAGCTCTGACTGAACGACTTTCCACATTCACCACACTTGGAGGGCTTTACTCCCTTGTATGAAGTCTCTGGTGTATATAAGTGTGGCCTTTTGGCTAAAGGATTTCCCACAGTGCCTACATTCATAAGGCCTCTCTTCAGTGTGAGCTCTCTGGGATGGCACCCGTGTGTATATTTATCTTGCTAGGCTCAAAATCCGTGTTTCCAGTGCATACCCTTGGGGGCTGAATGAACAAGCTGGAGGTTGTAGCTGGAAGGTGTTCTGAATTCTTGTGACTTAAAGGGACTTTTTCTACTATTGGCCTCTGCAGTCTTGATGATTTCATTTAACTTATCAATTTTTTGGGGACTGTTCTGGGACTGGAGAAGTTGCCATCTAACTGGGAAGTCCTTTCTAATTTTCCGATAGATGAAGGGATTCCCTGATCCGTGGAGTGTGCAGTTTTTCACCAGGGGAGTCACTGTCCACATCTCCCTTTAATGGATTCTTGGCACTAGGATGCTTTTGGCCCTGGAGGATTGAACATGCTTCTACTAAGAACAGTTTTTGTTCAGGTAGGTCATCCAGATGCAAACTGCCTGTCAAGACAGGAACACAGATGTCACAGGGGTGAGTCTTCCCATTGAGGAGACCTTTCTTTGGAGTCCTGGCTTGTGACATTTCTACGCAAACATTTTGTACAGAAAGATTTTCTTCAGACTCTGATTCGTGCCAACAATCTGAAAGAGGAAAAATGCTGTTCAAAATCATGTTAATTGTGGATTGAGTCTATCAATGATGCTTTATTATTCTTTTTCTCTACAATGTTTTAACCTGCTAAGGAATGATTCTAGCTAGGAAAAAATCCCCCATTCACTCTTTAAGCATGGCCAGTTGTGTTTTGTGTTGAGAAAGAATATTATTACATAGCCCTGGATGTCCCAGAGCTCACTCTGAAGACCAGGCTGCGCTTGAACTAACAGAGATCAGTCTGCCTCTGTCTACCAAGCCCAGTAGAAGGGTGAGCAATTGTTAACAGGTGACAAAGGGCTCAATGGGGGTATAGCATGGAGTTAATATGGAAAAAAGCAATCCAGAAATGACATTAAAAATCATATTTCCATATATACCCAAGAATACACTCCTCTTCTCCGTGAGTCTTAGGGCAAAATTCATATTCCTTTCCAAAATCCACCAAAATTGTTCTACTCATGAGATAGTCTAACTTTAATTTAGGAAATAACAAACTTAGATTGTCTTAGAAACAAGACGACTCAACCAAATGGACCCCCCAATGGAGTTCCTGTTTAGAAGTTAGTATTGAGTTAGGTAGGTAGTTCAGGGGTAGAGTGGTTCTTAAGCAAACTCAAAGTCCTTGCTTCAACAAGGGTGGTCTCAAACTCACAGAGATCCACCTGCCTCTGCCTCCCAAGTGCTGGGATTAAAGGCGTGCGCCACCAACGCCTGGTCTATTATGCCTTTTATGAAGGTCATGAGACCATCATCAAAACCACCACATGTGTTTTAGAAAACATCTGGGTTGATCACTATAGAGAAGTCTGGGGAGAGTGGTGTGCCTGGAGAGGACAGAAAGCTGCCAAGCTTTCTGCCCAAATAATCTTTCTTTCCTTTCCTTTCCTTTCCTTTCCTTTCCTTTCCTTTCCTTTCCTTTCCTTTCCTTTCCTTTCCTTTCCTTTCCTTTCCTTTCCTTTCCTTTCCTTTCCTTTCCTTTCCTTTCCTTTCCCTTCTACAATGTGGGGCCTGTGGATCAAACATGGGACCCCCTATTTGGTCACAGATGCATTTATCTGCTGAACCATCTTGCTGGCCCCCTGCCTTGTTTTTTGTTAATGCAGGTATTCCATTTAGTATTTCTGAATTGCAACTTCATATCATTTTTCTAGAAAATTATTAAACCAGAGACATGTTGGGAGAACTCTCAAATTTGTAGTTGCATAGACAGAAATGGACTATGCTGGATGCCTGGTTTGCAAGTAGAGTTTGAAGACCGGGCCTGTAATGTATGAGACAGACTTCATACTTCTGATAGAATCAAATCCGAATCCAAATGCAGACTGGTGAAAGACACCCGCCCCCTAGACCCCTAAGGGTCTCAGGATCCCGAGGAGCCCCTGAGACTCAGAAACCAGACCAAGAGCTGCAAAAGCAAGAGGGTTTATTGAACGAATGCGCATTCGGTGTCAGCAATATCTGGAAAGCTGCACACCCCAGCATGGGGTGCAAGCTCCTTATATAGGAAAAAACCGCAGATCAGCATACAGGCAAGGGGCACAAAGTGACTGATTACAAAGTATGATCTCATGTTAGAGTGGTCACCCAGGTGTGACCTGCTTTTTTACAAAGGAAAAACCACAGAATGTACCCTAGAAAGTCCCCGATTGTCTGTTGGCCAGTCAGGTGTGACCCAAAGAGGGTTGTCTTGGCGATTGCCCCCGTCTAAACCATAGGATGTGCCAGGGTTGGGGCCACCTTCCTTGTAATGGGACAAGGCCTGAGGGAACCTTTTTCTCTCTGTGAACTAAAATCTTTCACTGGCAGTGCCACCCACACTGCAGAATTGGTTGTTAGCATCATAAAAACATCTGGACCCCATGGCCATCCTTCCTTGTTGGTCAGACACACTGAAACTAATGTTTACAAATATTTAAAAACCTATCTCATTCATATAAACCAACAATATAACTGTTGGACATGCTCCTTTGACAAGAGTAGACACATCATGGCTAGGCCCAGAGAATTCAAACTGTAGAAGTCTGCAGTGCTATTTAATGATAAATGTTCAAAGGGCATATTGAGTCTGGGTCAATGTTGGAAGATACTGACGAGGGGGCAAATGATGCTTGCTGGCCAGGAAGAAAGGTTGGATGGAGCAGGAAGGCAAAGATAAAACGACAAGCCCAATACTGAACGTGGCGAAGGAAAGACAGTGGGTTATGGCTAGTGGGACATCAAAAAAACTGTGGTACAACAGGTTTCTGGTGTAATTTGGACACAACTCTGATGTCATTTCTTGACTCAGTTGCCACGCATGAGGGCCAAGCTTCCCCTAGACTCCTACTGCTTTTCACCCTGTGAATCTCCCCATAGTACCACTTGTCTGAGAACGTGTGACTTGCATGATTCAAGTCTTGAGGAAAAGCAGGACAGGCAAGT